GCTTTGAAAAAAAAAATGTAGAATTTTTTTCAAACAATTTGAAGAAATTTCAAGCATTTTTTTTTTTGAGATTTGTTTTTTGAAAATCATCCCCCAACCGCTATTTAAAGTGATGTTTTTGCCAATAAGTATTAAATAGATTAAATGACAGGCTTCAACTCAATTTAGAATGATTTTTAGGACGAAATAAATCTTCGTTTACGCGTTAATAGCACGAAACTTATCTGGCATTAATTGTTCCAAATTGGCCGAATCGGCAATCTGTAACCTACAGAAATTTACGAAAACAGATCACAGATAAAAATGTTTTTTAATTCAAGATCAAACCAGCAATTCTTTTTGAATGATAAGAAAAAAAATTCCATCCAAAAATTGCTAATAAAGAGCCGAAGCATGTCTGGAGAAAAAAACCACCCGAAGCACAAATATTTCTTCAGTCACTTTCTTCAAAAATTGAACAATAAGGCGTCTAATCATTGAGCATTGAGGGTTACTTGCAATAATTATGATGAAGTGCACGGCCAGCCTTTTCTATTATAAGACATTCGTAAATTTCTAGTTTGATTTGCAGTCAGATGCCAAAAGCCACTCAAGATATCCAAAGTTTGATTTTAAATAAATCTTTGCAGCTGCAGCCACTTGTGTAAGAATTTGGTTCGGACATCTTTTTCCTTTGAAAATCGATACCTTTTTAACCCAAAAGAACCGTTTGACCACTTTTAAAAACAATTTACACGCGCTATCGTTAAACTTTTTTAAAACCAAGATAGGGTTTTCATGTTTTTTTTTGAAAGCTTCAAAAATGAAATTTGTTGGCTCTAAAAATGATAGTAGTAGATGTTGGAGCTGAAGTTGGGGGGGGGGGGGTAAGTGCATGGCGGACCCCATGTATTAAGATACGTTTATAGATTTCCGGTCCGCCATGCGATGTATTAAGATTGGGTATAGAGTCTACAATGTATTAAGATAGGGAATACCGATGGTAAGGTTTTATGGTTTGTGTGATGGTAAGATAATGGTAAGAAAAACGAAAACTTTTTGGTTTTTGTTTATTTTTTTCGCAAAATTTTTGGCGCGCGTTATCTAATTGGGAACAATTAATTGTTAATTACGTGTAGAATTAAGGTTATGTATTTAGTTTTTTGGTGGATGGTAAGTCAATGGTAAGAGTTTTTGTGCAAAAACTTGGAATTTTTATCAATTTAAAATTTTTTCGAAAAAATTCAAAACACGATAAGATTAGCTATTATTTAACCTAATTTATTAGATAATTTTATTTCTATCTACTTGAAAAAATGCTGAAAACTACTGAAATGTCGAAAAAATTCAAATTTTTTGAGAAAAAACTGCAAAAATTTCAAGTATTTGGAAAAAATTGCAAAAATTTGAAGTATTTGGAAAAAATTGTAAAAATTTCAAGTATTTGGAAAAAATTGTAAAAATTTCACGTATTTGGAAAAAATTGCAGAAATCTCATAATTTTGGCTAATGTATTGTTGCTTTTGATCTAATTTTAAACATACTTTTACGTTTAGATTTTAAAAATAAGCTAAGACTGTATTTTAATTGGCATTATGTTGAGACATTGATACAAAATTTTGAATAAAAAATGACTTTTTCCACAATTTTTTCTCAAAATATTAAAATACAATGAAGTTTACCTTAATTTGAGCTAAATATTTGGTTATACAATGCTCTAAACACTGAAAAGAAAATTCATAGTAGCAGAATCAATATTGAAACTTCCGGAAAACAGTGAAATTAGTTGTAATTTTCGAGAAGGTAAAATGAAAACTAATCAAATTTACATGAAATTTTCCATTTCGAACCTTTTATTTTGGTTTTTAACTGTTTTTTTTGTCCAGTTCAAGGATTATTTTTAGGAATCTCAATTCAAATGAACATTAAGGGCAATATTCTATGAAATTTCTAAAGCAAACTCCATGATTCAACTCCTACTCATTTTTTTCTCCTTGAATTACCCAAATTTGTACAAAAATTACAACTTGTGAGAAATTTTTTATGTTAAAAATTCAGATTATTGAGAAAAAATGTACAGTTTATTGCTAAAATTGTTTAAAATGGGATAAATGGTTCTTAAAAATTTATTCGATTTTGGCTCAAATTCAACAAAAACTCCTTCATAACTGATGATTATCTCTCTGTTGCTTCTGCAACATAACTTTCAAGATTTTCCGTAGAGTTTTTCCGTATT